TCTGTATTAACTGTGAATGAATAGAACAAAATAAATTGCCTGTGATGGAAAAAAAAGAATTTATACTGTATCAAATTGATAATAGAAAAATAAATAAATTAATAAAAATTTAAAATAAGAAAGAAAAAAAATTGGTTACAAATGTAGAGCTTCTTTCCAGTATGTATTCTTTTATGCATCTGAAAAATACTGAGAATTTCAAAGGATTTACAACAATAATTACACTCATAGGGTTTCTCTCTAGTTCTAGTGTGGGTTCTTTTATGCCTTTGAAGAGTAAAGAGATGTGCAAAGGCTTTACCACATTGATTACATTCATAGGGTTTCTTCCCAGTATGTTTTCTTTTATGCGTTTGAAAAGCACTGAGACATAAAAAGGCTTTACCACATTGCTTACATTCATAATGTTTGTACCCAGAATGTGTTCTTTTATGACTATGAAGATTAGTGTATTGTGCAAAGGAGTTACCACAACCATTACATACAAAGGATTTCTTTTCAGTATGTGTTCTTTTATTCCTTTAAAGATGACAATTTAGTGCAAACTGTAGCTAGAATTTTCCTTCCTTTCCCACAGTCAGGACAGATCTTTGTCAGGCACCAGTCCCACAGCCGCTCAGACCCAAACAAGTAAACACAGAGACTTATATTGCTTACAAACTGTATGGCCATGGCAGGCTTCTTGCTAACTGTTCTTATAGCTTAAATTAACCCATTTCCACAAATCTATACCCTGACACACGGCTCATGGCTTACCGGCATCTTTTCATGCTGCTTGTCAGTGTGGCAGCTGGCAGTGAGTCCTTCTGCCTTCCTGTTATTTTATTTCTCCTCTCTATTAGTCCCGCCTATACTTCTTGCCTAGCCACAGGCCAATCAGTGTTTTATTTATTGACCAATCAGAGCAACTTGACATATAGACCATCCCCCAGCACAGCCAAGTGCAGACCATCTCACACACCTGCACTCAGACCCATGGTCCCAATCATCCTCTATGTGGACCTGCTGGGTAAAGCCACGAGGAACCCGAGAACGGGCTCCCACAGGACATACAGAACATCCCACAGCAGAAAGGCTTTACCACATTGATTACATTCATAGGGTTTCTCTCTAGTGTGGGTTTGTTCATGTATTTGGAGACTATTGTGATCTGCAAAGGCTTTACCACACTGATTACATCATACAGTTTCCTTCCAGCATGGTTTCTTTCATGTATTCAGAGATGATAGTGGTCTGTAAAGGTTTTATGACACTGAATAAGTTCATAAGATGTCTCTCCAGTGTGTTCTTTTATGCCTTTTTAGACGACTATAATCTGCAAAGGCTTTACCACATTGCTTACATTCATAGGGTTTCTCTCCAGTATGCGTTCTTTTATGCACTTGAAGATTATTATGCCTAGCAAAGGCTTTACCACATTGATAACATACATAGGACTTCTCTCCAGTATGTGTTCTTTTATGGCTTTGAAGATTACTGTTTTGTGCAAAGGCTTTACCACAATAATTACATTCATACGATTTCTCTCCAGTATGGGTTACTTTATGTTTTCGGAGAGTACTGTCGTCTGCAAAAGTTTTATCACACTGATTACATTCATAGGGTTTCTCTCCAGTATGTGTTCTTTCATGTCTTTGAAGAGTACTGGCATGTGCAAAGGCTTTACCACATTGATTACATTCATAGGGTTTCTCTCCAGTGTGTGTTCTTTTGTGCACTTGAAGACTTTGTTGACATACAAAGGTTTTACCACATTGAGTGCATTCATAGGGTTTCTTTCCAGTGTGTGTTGTTTTATGCATTTGAAGACTTCTGTACCATACAAAGGCTTTACCACATTGAGTACATTCATAGGGTTTCTCTCCAGTGTGTGTTGTTTTATGCATTTGAAGACTTTTCTGCCATGCAAAGGTTTTACCACACTTATTACATTCATAGGATTTCTCTCCAGTATGGGTTATTTTATGTACTCTGAGAGTACTGTCATCTGCAAAGGTTTTACCACACTGATTACATTCATAGGGTTTCTCTCCAGTGTGTGCTCTTTTATGTCTTTGAAGATGACTGTCTCGAGCAAAGGCTTTACCACATTGATTACATTCATGGGGTTTCTCCCCAGTATGTATTCTTTTATGAATTTGAAGATTACTGTATTGTGCAAAGGCTTTACCACAATCATTACATTTAAATGGTTTCTTTCCAGTATGTGTTCTTTTATGTCTTTGAAGATTACTGTATCGTGCAAAGGCTTTACCACATTGATTACATTCATAGGGTTTCTCTCCAGTGTGTGTTCTTTCATGCATTTGAAGATTTTTTTGACATGCTAAGGCTTTACCACATTGAATGCATTCATAGTGTTTCTCTCCAGTGTGTGTTTTTCTATGCATTTGAAGATGACTATAATTTGCAAAGGCTCTAACACATTGATTGCATTCATAAGGATTCTCATTAGTATTTGTTCTTTTATGCCGTTGAACAGTACTGGGATGTGCAAAGGTGTTAAGACATTGAGCATGTACAGAAGGTCTCTTTCCAGTTTGACTTCTTTCTTGCCTATAAGGATAATGAAACATGTAAAAGCTTTATCACATTTAATACACTGTTGAATCTTTATGTCTGTATGAAATAATTTTACAATATGGAATAAGACCATCAGGTTTTACCACTGTGTTTACACTCATGTTTTTTCCCTTCATTAATGGTTGTTTTGCATCATTGATGGTAAGATCATTTACTACAAGGTTCACATTTACAGAATCTTTTTTCTATATAAGATTTTTCACATATTTGAAGAGAACTGGAAAAACTCAGAGCTTTACTACCCTTATTACATTTATCAATTTTCCTGTACTGTGAGTCACACTACATTTGCTAAGTAAACTAGGACAAACAAATATTTACACAGTCCTAATATTCACAGGACATTTGTGCAGTGTCTGATAATGAATTAACAATGAAACTGCAAACCAACTATTTGTATACTTGAATCAAATTCAACAAGTGTACTCAAACCAGGAACTGCTATATATCTTCTAATTTTTCTGAGAGAGATATATGTCATGTCTTTCCATATGCCTATGCTCATATGGCTTATATCCAGAGTCATATATGATATACCTAGTAACAGAAGTAATAAATAAAAAATTTCCACAGTGAATTCAGTTTTTATTTTCTGTCCTCATAGACATGTGGAACAGGGATTAAGATTTCTACACAACAGCTGCCCCTTGACTCCTGACTCTAACTGCCCCTCTCACTAAACAGCACAGTCACAACAAGTATGTGAGTAATGTCAGCTTTACTATGAACTGTTTGCTTATTAGAAGGTTATGGAGATATGCTTATCACATCTTCAATGTGTATCCATTTTGTAAAATGAGTGGTATAAAATAAATGGAGTGACAGATGCTATGGGATGTCTTTCTGTATGCTGTGAATTTTTGTTGCTCCCATTGGCTAGTAAATAACGTTCTTCTGGCAAATGGCAAAGGAGCTTAGAGGCAAGTAGGGAAATCCAAGTAGAGAGACAGGAAGAAAGTGGAGAGAGGCCAGCCACCACTGAAGGAACAACATGCCAGCAGACAGGTAAGCCACAGAACAAGTGGCAAAACATAGATTAATAGAAATGGATTAATTTTAGCTATAAAGCTAGCTAGCCAGAAGCCTGCCATGTATCATGCAATTGATAATTAATATTAAGCCTCTGAAGAGTCATGTGGCTGTGTGGTACTGGAGAAATTCTCCAGCTACAGACAGATCTACACCATAGCTCTAATGTTGCTATGATTCAAATTGTGCTATCACCGAAGGCATTGTTTCCTTGACTTCTTTCTTAAAAGAATGGCCTGTAAATGCAATTAACCTGGGCTACTTTTTTTTTTTTTGGTTGGGAGATGTTTAATGACTGTTTCTATTTCCTTAGGGGTTATTGGTCTATTTAAATAGTTTATCTGATCTTGATTTTTACTTTGGTATTGGGTACCTATCCAGAAAATCATCCATTTCTTTCAGATTTTCCAATTTTGTGGAGTACAGGTTTTTGAAGTATGACCTGATGATTCTCTGGATTTCTTCATTGTCTGTTGTTATGTCTCCCTTTTCATTTCTGATTTTGTTAATTTGGAAGATCTCTCTCTGCCTTGCTACTCTGAAAAGTAGCAAGTGAATACCTAAATAACAAGATAACTTTTAAAATAGATGATACAAAAATTGATTAATTATGTACAGTTGTGGATGATGACTTATTTTTCTCAAAGAATGTATCCTACTTGTTATAACCAATCAAGGCATAGAATGGCATGAGTCTATAACACTGGGATTGATAGGCAAAACATGATGAGAGAGTGATTGACAAATAAACCAGGTTTTGCTCTAACAAAAATGCAATTCACCTACCTAAAATTGAGATATGTGGTTTTGTGAGAATTTAATAATTATCAATGCACTTTAAGTGGTGCTTATTCATGCTTTACTTTTATCTAAATCCTCCAGGACATATTATAACTTACTTAGTGAAACATTTGTGTTAGCTTCCATATGAAAATTACCTTTTATGTCTTCTAGAACTTTCACAATATTTTTCAATATTATGGTCCTCCCAACTGTATCCTAAAATATAATAACAGAAAATGTATGTTATATTATTGACCATTGTGCAAAATTTTAGTTACTATCCTCAGTGAACCTTAGAACCATGCCTGATTATTCACATCATTCTTCTTCTTTCTCAATCAAATTATAGAAGAACATCAATAACCAGGGAACTGTTGTCCCCTTATTTTAAAATATGAAGGAAAATTTAGTCTTACCTATAGTAGTGAGGTGCCTGTAGGTCTCAAGCATCACATCTTTGTAGAGATTCTTCTGGGAAGGATCCAGCAAAGTCCACTCTTCCCGTGTGAAATCAATATGTATGTCATCATAGGTCACTGCATTCTAAAATGTGCCATATATGTGTACAACAGAAAACAGAATACATTGTAAATATATACTTTGACACTATAGTCATATAATTCTGATCCTCCCCACACTTATTTCATGACGTAGACATTATAATGTAATCACCAAGTCACTTTAGAAGGAAACAGAATAGGAGGTTCCCCTCTGTCATTTCTGTAACATTTGCAAGAGAAAGGACTATTAATAAGCATAGAGAGACAAGTAAACAGATCAACAGTACAGAGTACACATGAGAGAAACTTTATGAGCAATTACTAACTAAAAAAAAAATAAGGTGGACAAATTGGGTGTATGGCCTCATGCCTTTAACCCCAACATTCAGAAGGCAGAGGCAGGTATATCTGCCTCTGGGGTTAATGCCAGCCTAGTCTATGCAATAAGGTCCAGGACAGCCAGAAGTACATATTGAGACCATGTCTCTCATGCAAAAATCAGTCAAACAAACAAAAATGAAAGAATTCAGAAGTTTTCACTGAAGTTCCTACAAAGAGTTACATATTCCTTCCAGTTCTGTATTCATCTTCAGAAACCTGAAGTGTGTCAATTAAAACTGTAATATCAGGCCGGGCGGTGGTGGCGCACGCCTTTAATCCCAGCACTCGGGAGGCAGAGGCAGGCGGATCTCTGTGAGTTCGAGGCCAGCCTGGACTACCAAGTGAGT